CAGCAGGAAAGAAGTAAGAGCAAAAGTACTAATACTTAAATTAGTATATGAACTGTAATAAGAACAATAGAAGATACTGAGCAACAGAAAATAGTCCCGAACTTGTAATTTTAACGTATGCTTTGCTAGAGGTATCAAAAATGATAGCATAAATAAATAAAACTAATGCTTTATGATTCAGGTAAATGCAGCTAAATACAACTATATTTAGAAAGAATAGCTCCATGCATTTCTTGTATTTAGAAGACTTAATCATAGGCCTCGTGTGTGCTTGGAGCTTGTCTACTCAGTTTAATTTTTTTCTGTCTCTTTTAAGGAAGAATTAATGGAGCTGAAGGAAGAAATAACTTTGTATGAATCTGCTGCTAAGCTTGGAGTATTTTTGAATGATACAGGTGGAGAGCTGCATACAAATCTGGATGATTCCTATGTAGACTTAGGAATTAAGAAAATGACCTCGAAGAAACCAAGGTTCTGCAGGTATTGAGTGATTTTTTATTGAAATAAAAATTTGTAGTTACTTAATGCTAAAGCTGTCTTTTTAAACAACCAATTGAATTGTCTCAAAATCCGTCCCATCGTGTAGAGAATGAGTCTTCTGGGGAAACAGCTGAATTAACAAGTTTTCTTTGTGTTAATTGCAACTTGATGAGAAAGCATATGGTTTTTGTATCTGTGTTCTATTGTTCTTCTTCCTATTACCTTTTAGGCACCTGTATTTCTGGTGGCATTAGTTGCTCTTTGCCACAACTACCTTTCAGATGAATGTTTTTTGTCTTTCAAATACTGAACTGGTTACATCTCCCCTAGTAGTGCATTACAGAAAAGAGACCTGGATAAAGAGCTCTCCAAAGAAGAAATTACTGTAGAATTAAAAGCTGAGCTGGAACGTTTATTGAGCAGTAATAAAATGAAGAGAAACCAGATTGCTCAATTACAAAATGATCTTAAAGATTGCCAGAAGACACTGGAGGAATACAAGCAGTTGTTGAAAGAGGAAAAAGCATCAAAAGTGTCAGAGGTTTGTTCTTTTACACTATTTAAAAAAAAAGATGCGCTGGATTTTAGTGAATGAAACCAACATGTAAACCTCTTAAGAAAATGGGTCAAAGAATTTACTCACAGCTAAGTACTGATAGCAACTAAATAAATCTGCTTTTGATCTTAAGGGAAGTGTTGTCATTTGGATGATACCTTGTTTTGTATCATAGGTGAAAAAGAGAAACTGAGTAGGAGAACTTGGCATAATGTGCCTCATTAGGTGACTTCTGATGTGGTGGCTTATTTCCTCAGTAGCATGTAATGGCCACTCTGCTTTTTTCACAACTGAATTTCATTGGAAAAAGCAGATTTTCTTTAGCCAAGAAGACCTTGTAATGTCTCTGAGAAAGCTGATAGTATCATTAGGTTAGACAAATGGAACATTAAACAGACTGCCTTTAGAAGGCCTTCACTATGTAATTTGACTAACAATAAATCTCTTCGATATTACTTCTCTCTTCACCCCATTATTAACTGTCCTCTATAAATTGATCAGACTAGTAGCATCTGCTCTTGTAATCTATACATTGTGATCTGGATGTGGGATAAGAATATAATAAGCTTGAGAAGTGTGCTCTCTGTTGAATGACAGTAGTCTTTCAGCTTGCAAACACAGTATCAAGTGTGTGCTGCTTTAAACTTTCATGATGCCATGAGTTCCAGGAATTAATCTGGAATAACAGTGATACTGTTACATCTTGCACTGCAATAATTTCCTTTGGGTTTAAGTTTTCTCTAAGCAAAATTTTTATTTGACAACTTTAACTTTTTTTTTTTTTTTTTTTAAAGCATCAACCTCTGAATCACATATCCTGAAAGTTCTCTAAATTTTATTTATTTTTAGCCTGTCACAAATCTGAATGATACTTTGCTGGCCAGTCCTTCAGTTTCTGATAATCTTAAAAAAGAAGTTCTGAGACTCAGAAAGGCTAATGAAACTTTATTGAGAGATGTTGAGGTGAGACAGAGATGCTGCTTATCCCTACAAAAAAAATAAATCCCTATGCTAAAACCTGCTATTAGAAATGCTTCTTTACAACCCACCTAATTATTTGATCCTTGTTTGTCCAGAACCACACTTTGACCATCGAACAACTGAAGGAAAATGAGGAAAAACTGACAAGTTTAAATCAAGATCTCTGTTGTCAAATGAGAAAGATGGTTCAGGATTTTGATCAGGATAAACAAGAAGCTATTGACAGGTAAGTCTGTTAAATCTGTTTAGTTCCATATGTGAACTTGTAGGCTGCATGTATGATCTTGTGTCAGCTGTCTGGTACAAGGGGTTGTCAGCATTAGAAAGCTGTTTTCTTACTTAAGGACAAGTTGAACACAGTTTAAAAGCAGGGTGGAACCTAGGTAATTTTTTCATTTCTTGAAATTGTAGGTATGAAAGGACTTATCAGCAACATCATGAGGATACAAAAGCCCATTTTCAGAAGGACCTGATGGAGAAGTATGCTGCAGAAAAACAGCAGCTTGTTCAAACGTACGAAGAAACAATCTCGAGATTAAAGTAAGAATTGCCATGTTTTTCTATTTTTACTGAAACTTTAATATTTCCTGTCTGGCCTTCTGTGCTTGTTACCCTCTTTTCAAAACAGGCTGTCCTGTGAGTGTAAAAACTAATTGATAATAAATAATCTGTCCTGTCAAGGGCTGACACAGAGGAGCTGAACAAGGAGATGACTGCCGTGAAGGAATGTTACATTGGAGTCTGTAGGGAGAAAGACACCTTAGAAGCTACTTTAAGGCAGAAATTTGAGCAAGATCAGCAACTGAAGGAAGAGAAGGTACTAATGGAAATAGCTATAAGCCATATAGTTTCAGACTGTTTTTAAGATGTAGTATTCATAAGTGTATTTAACTTTGTAGTTGTTTGAAGATACTTGGAAAAGATGCAGCTGTACCAGAAAGTTAATACAAGTGGCCTATTGGTTGTTAAGTTAACCTGCTGTGGTGTCCTGGTGTTCAAAATATTGTAGAAGTAACTTTTTCCAATAGCTGTTCATTGTCCTGTAGTCAACTTGCATAACTTTGAATCTTGAGGACTGCTCAGTCAGCAGTGAGAGGTTTTATATTCATGAGGCATTTTTCAGAAAACAGAATGACAGCACAAGTATTGTTTTCCCTATATAAAATTAATCTGAAAATACTGTGAGTTTAAGTAGCAATTAATTCACACTGCTATATTGATTAAAAACTTTGCTCTTCTGAAGACAGCAGTGTGAAATGACTGAAGTAGGTCAACTGTCTTGCTAAGCAAGTACAGTAAAAGGTGCAGTTCAAAATATGCTGGGAATAAAAATCCTTGATAAGAAAACTTAATTTAGAGTAATAGCCTGTAATAACCTCTGATATCCTGCCTTAAAACACCTTTTGAGAGCTGACTCTCTTCTCCAGGTGTCATCACTAAGATCAGTGCACAGGCTCTCAAGAGTTATTAATTTCTCTCACAAACTCTTGTCTCACAGCAGTTTGCTATGCCTTGCAGAATACTTCAAATTTGTTTTCTATTTTTGCCTAGCTCAAGAAAGAGCTACTAAAAGAAAAAGAAGATGCTCTTAGCCTTCTGAGGACTGAGCTTGAAGAGAAACACCATGGTTCTCTGATAACAGCAAAGAAGCAGTGGCTGGAAGAAAAAGAACAGCAGGTTGAAGAGGAACTTGCATTAGCCAAAGTTCACTGGGAGATGGAAGAAAAAGAGGTGTGGAACTTAAACCAAGGGGTTTCAGTTTTTGTTGTTGTTTTGTTTATTTTCAGAAGGAGAACTTGCGTGTAGGTAGACTTATTAGACTGTTATTCTGCCTTTTGAAGTGGCTTAAGGATCTATAACTTTAGGAGTATCAGAGAAAGTCAGTTGATATTACATATGCTTAAGATTTTGGAAGAAAAAACCCTAAACCTTGCAAAGTAACATGCAGAATGTCATGAATGTCACAGCTGGTCATATGCTGGAGTTTTCTGCCCTCATCCCTGATCATTTCATTCAGTTACCATGTAGAAGTCCTTGTATCCCAGAGAGGGAAGCTGTGATGAGGAAGAAAAACCAAGTCATTTTTTACCAAACTCTGTTCCCTGAGAATGGTTTCGTTCTTATCCTGTTAGGGAAGATTATTAGTGTAAGCAGAGTTTTGTTGGTTAAATACCAGTGAAATTCTGGTTATTTGGACATTTTCTTAAAAAATATTTTTTTCCTTAGAATAAAGAGCAAGTCTTTGCAAAAATAGAAAGAGAATGGCAAAGTAGGCTGGAAGAAATGAGAAGAACTGTAGTTGAATGTAGAGACTGCAGCAGCCAAACTGACCAAGTAACAGTTGTGGATGGAGCTTCAACTGAAGAGTTAAAAGGGATTGAAGACCAGAAGGTGCAGATCCAGAAGGCTCTGAAAGAAAATATGGCCTCACAAGAGGCTTTAAAAGAATTTGAAATAGAACTGGAAAATAAATACCATAAAAATCTTGCCAGTCAGGTAACAAATAAATGTGTTCTCTGCCTGGTGCCTGTAAAACTGCCACGTGCAGCTAAGTCACCTAGAAAGAGATGTTCTCTTTGAGAAGCTTTATCTTAAGCTCAGCAGGTGATATTTGCTGTATTAGAAACATATATTAAAAAAAAAAAAAGTTCTGAAGAAACTGTAACATGAAGCTTTTTTGTTCTAGCTGTTTTTTCATACAGTTGGACAAGTTTTGCAGGAGTTTGGAACAGCATTGTGCAAAACTTACTTAGAGTTTATATAATTTTTTGAAAGAAAAAGAAATAGAATATTAATCATTTGTGCATCAGGAAGTGCAGCAGATGCTGCTGGTCTGATTCTTTTGATTTCTATGAATATAGGCCATCCAAACTGAAGTCTGTACTTTCACTGCTGCATGAAAGTATAAAAATGGATGCATTCGTGGTGACTGAAGTAGATTTTTTTTAATCTGCCTATAGGTAGATGCAGCTTTAACCCAAGCTCGTGCCAGGTGGCTGCAAGAATTAACAGATCTCAAAGAGTACAAAATAAATCTAAAGCTAGAACAAGAAAAATGGGAAAAAGAACACCAAGTGTCTGCAGCAAAGCAGGTAGCCTAAAATACTTGTATATGTGTGTTGATAAACAGTTTAGTCTTCTAAGTCCCATATGTTAATGAGGAATGAATGCAGATATAGTTGGAGAATCATTAAGGAAATATGTTTCTAGTGTAGTCTGGTTCAGATCAGTTTTTTTGTCTATAAAAGATTATGTATTTATTAAATAATTTTGAAATAATCTCCTATACATTGATAATGACCCAGAGTTAAGTTTTTATACATCTATGTATATATTTATAATGACTGTGTTATATATTCACCAGTTAGCCCTGGTTCTCTCAGCTGCTGAAGAGAAATGGAAGAAAGAACATGAGAATACGGAGAAATCTGGCCCAAGAATGAAAGAACTTGAAGAAAAGGTGATTTCTCTCAAGAAAGAGTTGGAGCTAAAAGAAGAAGAAATCCCTGCAGCTGTCAAAGCAGAACTAGCAAAAGCCCGTGTTCAGTGGAACAAAGAAAAGCAGGAGGAAATCTTGCAGATACAAGAGCAAAACGAGAGAGATTACCGCTCGTTTCTAGATGATCATAGAAACAGAATTAAAGAGGTACTTGCAACAGCAAAGGAGGATCTTGCAAAGCAGAAGAATGAGATCTGCATACAGAAAGAGGCAGAATTTAAGATGTTACTACACCAAAAGCAGCAAGAATGGGAGGCTCAGGAAAAAAAGAGACTGCAGGATGAAATTAATCAGTATGAGGAGAAGACTCTGGCTGAGCTTGAATATCTGTTGAGTGAAATCCATGAAGAATTACTCAAGTGCACAGATAGTAAGCATTCTTGTAAGGAGAAGTGTTTTGATACTCATGTTCAATTAAGCCATTCATGTAAAGACAAACTGAAGACTTGCTTACAGAAGGCCTATAGAACCACAGTTAACACAATTCTGGAAAAGGAGGAACAACAATGGAAGAAGGTAATATTTGTGTAAATTATAAGTGCCAACCAGAAAAGGGATTTGAGAAGTGAAACTCATACCTGTTATCTCCCAGTGGAAAATATCTCTGTAATTCTAAGAATCCACCATCTGAGTTCATTGATAACAATAGTCCTTTAAAACTGTAAAAGATGGCTAAAGCTACTATTAGCAAGTGCAAAGGGAAAGGATGGGTGTAGCTTTGCCACCTTAAATCTTCATAGTAGGAAAAGCCAGGTTAGGAGTGCCACTCTTTAATGCCAAGATTCATTAATTAAGGAGTTGAATCCACCATCTTGTCTGGGAGCCAGTTGAAGGCTCCTTGTGTCCTCTTAGGTGGGTTCTGTCATTAAGGCCCGTCTTAGATCTTTGCATAGGTACATTTTTTTTGAGAAATTTAGCGGTTTCTATGGTGATCAGATGCTGATTTTTGGATCGTGTGACTCCCTCCACCTCCTTCTGATACAAATAAAAATTAAAACAGCAAATCCTTTTTACAAATTATCTGTAGTAGAACTGAATAGCTGACAAACTGATCTCTCTTGGGAATAACAGTCTTGCTTAACTTTATTGTGGCTCTAGGAAATCCTTTTCAATGTGTATGCCTAAATGAAGAAAGACATCCTACTGTCTCCTAGAGGAGTTTGGGGCTAAGTAGAATTCTATCCAAAAGCTTCTGTTTCTGTTGTTTTGGCAGATTCCTCTTTTTGCAATACTTATGCTTATAGTAAGCTTTTGATTATGGGGAGCATCCTACTGGAAATGCCATTGCCACCCAGCATTTAGCAGCTGGGGAATTATCCAAGAATAGGACAGAGAAAGAAACTGTCTTCTTTTTCAAGAAAAAGCAGGACAGGGGGACATGAGTATGAAGTGATATCTCTATATTACTCAGTGACTATATAGTCACTGTATTACTCAGTTGTTTAGTGGTGATAATGTTTCTGTTCAGAAAGTGGTCCTTTAAAGTTGGTTGTTTGGGGTTTTTTTTGAGAGTTATTTCCACAATAGTAAAGAGAATCAGAAGGTTGTTTTTCCTATGCCTGATGCATCTTGTGTAATAGATACAAATGTTTCTTGGTAAACTGTTATTAATATTACTTTGAACTCCTAAACGCTGGTTGGGTTTGAAGCACCTTATCCAGTGCAGTCTTTGTAGTTTCTTAATGTCTTCTCTTATGCTACCGTAATAACAATAAACAAAGAAGTTAAATTTTTCTAGATTATATTCCTGTCCCTCTACTACACATACTTGTGCAGAAAGTCTAAATGTGTACAACCCTTTTCTCTGCTGGATATGCCTTTTAAAAAACAAGTTAACTTCAACTTAGTTCAAAGACACTGTCTGGTTCTGTGACGTTAAGGGCTTCTGGCACTTCCAAAATAATACTCAAGTTACCCAGTAAAACTTCTATATGCTGAATATACATTTTCCTCCTGATTTGAGCTGCAATATACAGTTTTCTTTCAGGTTTGAAACATTGGTATTATGATTACTAAAGATACTTGGTGGTCAGGTTTGCTTGTTTTCATGCATAACATACTAATCTACTTAGATAGTGTGGAATATTTTCTTTTTTGCTATATGGTGGGTTTTCAGGAAGTGTTTTTCAATTGCAGAAATATGAAGAGCTGCTGAGTAATGTAAACAAAGAAGCACACTGTTGCCTGCAACATGGTGAAGGAGAAACTGAGGCCATGGCAGGACCTTCTGTGTGCAGTGTTGGACACCAAGCAGAAGCACAGAGGAGGCTAAGACGACAGCAACCCTTGCAGGAAACTGGAACAGGCAAAGGTATTTGGTTTGTTTTTAATCTGGCAAAGTATGTGTCATCAAATTAAACTTGTTTAGTAACAGTCTATAACAGTCAATGTCTTGTTGATTACTCTAATGCAAGGTTAGCTAATTAGTGAATATTTGGGTGACAGAGGAAGATGTACTTCTTCTGACTCTTAAGGTTGTTTAACGTTGCATTATCTTGTATTATATTGAAGTCACAAACTATGCAACAAATGGTTCCTGGTCTCCAGCTTACTGATTTAATGCTAGGCTTTGAGGTTTGATTTTATTACATGCTAGTAGCTTTCTGCTTTTTTTTTTAAGCCATTCTTTGGGTGTAAAGAAGTAGCTGCCATATCTGCTGCAGCTGCAAATGCTCTTTGAAGGTTGTGGACATGAGCACAAATACCTTTGGTGTTTAACAGCTCATAAGCAAGCCAGTGATGATCATCATGAGCAGGGTGTGGTGTAAATGTACATCAGAGCTTGAAAGACTGAATTACACTACTTGCTCTTGACATTAGACAAGACAAGGAATTCTGCATTCATGTAAAATATATTGCTGTGTCAGGAATTATACTTTAATTGGCATGGTAGTTTTTCCTGTTTTTTCTTTTGACCAAGAAATACACTTGAAAAGCTGTGAATCCCCCTGGGTGATGTTTCCCTTCCCCCCCCGCCATCTTTCTCCCCTATATCTACTTTAGGATTGTAGCTCTTCCCAAAGCTGTCACATGTATTATGGCAAAGCTGCAGACAGCATAGCTGGGGAGAAGCTTCGTGGGAGGCACAGAAATCTCTCTGGGGCTTTCTGTTTAGTTTGAGCTCTTACGCAACCGAAAAACATAAAGCAAGAAAAACCAAGAGATTCTTTGGCTTTATGCCTATAGTGTGGCTTGAATTCATTCAACACCAAAATAACAAACCATCTATAAAACACAGAACAATACCAGCAGTGCAGCTCTTCTGTCTCTAGAGCTCCCTGTCCTGGCTATAGAGAGCAGCAGTTGCTCTCCTGGAAGTAGCCCAGTCTTTGTGAATTTCTTAACTAGACTCAACTGCATGTGAGGCTTCCCAGCTGGGACAATCTCCTTCAGCTGACTCAAAAGAGACCCTGCTTGGCCCTGCAAGCCTCATAATGCTGACTGAAGATTCAGATCATCATTGATGGGAATGTGTTGAGCCTGTCAGGGCTCAACAACTTGATAGATACTGCTGCAGCTTCTATAACGGTGTTCCAGCCTCTTGTGATTTTTTTGGATTGGACTGATGTGTTGTTACATGCTTTTCCACCAAGAGAAGGACTAAGTAGACCACTGGAAATAGGAAGTTTGGTCTTTCTTTGTTTTGGTCCCATGGTTGTTATATAACTTCTAGCAATTACTGTTTCAGGTCAGAAATGTACAAAAAGGAACGTTGGGTCTCGGAAAGTTTTTTGCTGTGAACACTGCTGCCAGGAGCTTGAGAAAAGAGAGACTGTGTGCCAGGACTTGAAAGACAAGCTGGAGATAGCCCACAAACATCTTCAGCTTGTTGTGAAAGAACATAAAGCTAAGTCAGAGGAAACGCAAGGTTAGGATTGTTAGTCACCAAAAGATAACTTTGAATGGCTTAGCTTTGCTGGCTGTATGAGTCATATGCTGCATCATTTAGCATTTTATTTTCAGTGGGTGGAATGGGTGTGTGCACACTGAAAAAACAAATAACCCCCCAACAATTAAAACCCACAAACTTACCTCTCTTCTCCCACGCCCCCAAGAAATACCCCCACCCTCTTGATTTTAAGTGTTGCTTATTGCTTTAGTACTCCTTTGTGTGTATCAGGAAAAGAAGAGAGGAAAACTGGGCATGTGGCAGATAATCTTTTGAATATGTGGGTCTCATTGCCCATGAAGGTTATATAGTTAATGCACATGTGTGCACATACATGTGTCCTTAGAAATTAATGAGTCAGGGAGGTCTTTAGCTGTCTTCTTTGGGGCTCTACTGCTACTATGCACGTAGCTTCCCATAGTGAGAGCATAAAGAGTGGAGAGGCCCCAAATGTTACTTTGTTCCTCTTGGTAACATTAGTAGTAAGTCATTGACCACAGTTCTCTGGTACCTTCCTGCAGATAACAATAGTTTGAAGCTATAGTTTTGTTTATTTTCTTTATTTATTTTGGTAAACTTTAAAGTAGGTTTAAGTAGGTTTTGTTTCGTCTCCTGGCTTTTTAAATCAAGATGTTCTTTGTCACTTTGAAATGAGAAATACAGAACAGATAGGACAGAAGTCCCTATTTATCTTTCCTGTGTGACAACTGCCTCTACCAGTGATGGATATGAAATATCCACTCTGATTTGGAAAGAGTTACTGAAAGGAAGGCTTATGCCTGTGGTATGGAAATAATGCTTTTCTGAAGCTATTTCTGATGGAAAAAGATGGTGCAAAGTAATTTGTTTGAGATTACTCTATTGTAGGAGATAGCTCCTGATTAATTAGTGGTATTATCCAGTACTCTCGTTTAATACACACCCCACTTCTACTGGGGTAGTATTTTGCTGTAAGTGTCCACTCTTTGCTGTCCAACATCTTATTTTTTGCTTTCTTAATATCTGTATCACTTTCTGTGGCAGGCTGATAGTGCCTGGTGGTAAAACCTCCCTGACACTTGAGCCATCAGTTTAAGCAATTGAAATATTATCTGACTTGATGTCAATACATGCATTTACTATGGATACTGTTACATCATGTACATCTGTCATCTTTTCAGGATAATAGACTTTGTCCTTTATTGCTTTATTTAACTTGGCAGAAGTCTCTGACAGTAGTAAAATCTGGATTAGCAAGTTTGAAAGGTCTTTGGCATATTAAACCCCTTTGCTATACCTGTGGTTGGGTCCTCTTTATGGGCTTTGCGTGTAGGCTTTTCACTGAGAGGAAGTCATTGATTCATCTGATAGCAACAAGAATTTCTTTAGCATTGTTTTATTTCTGAGAGGATTTGTAGGAGGAATGCCTGCGCTGCTTGGTTCCTGTACTCAAGAACTTGCCTACTTGAGCATATGAAGCACAGTTCCCATTCAGTTGGTATCTGAGGAACTCTATCCCCTTATTCAACTGCATTGAAGTCAGTAGAGGTCTTTGTTTTAAGGAGCAGAACAAAGAATATTTTCTCTGAATGAAAACATGTTGGTGATTGAATAAAAGGATTGTTCTCCCTGCAGTGTTTTAATCAGTTGAAGCTGTACACAGTAGTGTTCAGGGCATTTTTTTAGGCTCCTTAGAGCATGGCAGGAATTGGACTTGCTGAATGTTCTGGTTCAGGAGAGGTCTCAAACTACATCTTGAGGATCAGTAGATCTATAGAGTGGTTTGAGCCTCAGTGAAAGGGCACTGTGGCCACTGTAAGCATGTTGGGCAGATGGTAGCTTGGAGAGAGCAGATGCAAGGTAGTAGGTTTTACCAAGTGACTAAATAGTTTAACTTGCCAAAGGCTGTGGCTTGTGTGTGTGTTGTGTGGAGTGGGTTATTTTTTTTTCTTTTACTGAAAAGGTTCAGTTGCCTGCTCCAATAAATGTTATGCTCAGTGAGGATGAGTAAAATGCTGTATGTTTGTAAGAGGTTTTTGCCAGCTTGCAGATACCTGAGCAAGGCTGGGTGGGCAAGTTGCACAGATTTGCTTAATATTTCTGTGCTCTGTCCACAACCATATAGCATGTAAACTTTCTTGGAAGTCTGAAGGAAAGATTGAAGAATCTTAGGAAGTCTATTAACCAAAACAGAGGCTACTGCTGGCACCGGGGTCATCACAGATACAATTCTCAACTGCTCAAAATAAGATTCAGGCCACAAATGAGGAGCTCTGAAGGCTATGGATTGCTTCTGTCTGTATTCCAGCGTGGCTACTTGCTTTTTACTTCTCCAGACATCATCTTAGAGAAGGAAGAAAGCCAAACATGTCTGTGTCTTTCTTGGGGCTCAGCCTTGAGTACTCCAGAAGGAAGGCTTGTCTTTAAGAAGACATGCTCTCTGATGTATGGTGACAAGTTTTTAGTTTCCTTGGGCCATGGTTCACATGAGAACTTCTGTGGTTGGGTGCAGTGGATGTATCCCCAGCATTCAGTGTAGGTGTTCAGTTCATATTGGTTTGTGTTCCTAAAACAGGAAAGCTAGTAATCAACTATTGATTTTTATGGGTCTATTAAAGTTTACCCCTTAATTCTTCAGGTTATGGTAAATACCTGTATCCCTTTAAAAAATAAATAAATTGCTTACATTAGATAGCTAGTAAATCAGTTTTATGGTACTTTAACTTTCAGCAGACCCACAGGATGACTATGTATGTATGCCACAATCATGAGTCTTCAGCATCAGCCTCAAGTCCTGTGCTTTGGGCTCTTTCAGCTTCACTGTCTTCTTATTTTCTGTGGTGGCTCATTATAGTATTTCTAGGCTTCTTAGTAGCATTGAGCAGAGCTCAGCATGGAAGTCCAGTCTTTCTTTCTAACAGTGTTAGTAATGGCATAGGAAGGCTTCTAAGCTTATTTAATTACTATATGAAATGGTCAGGCTGCATTAAGGTGTATTGTGATTGATTCCTGTGGGCTTCTTATTGCAACACCTGATAATTTGCTGATGATACTTTATGACATTGAGCTCTTATACCAGAGACAGAAATTTATGTAACAACTTCTGTTGAACTCCAATTTAGAGAAATTTAATGAGTTACAGTTCATCACTTTTTTAACAGAAAACAAAAAGGTCCTAGAAGCTCTAATTGCAGAAAACTCTGAGATGAAGACTAAACTGAAAGACATGGGAACACCACCAAGGTATTTTAAAAATCTATAAACAGACTAATTTTTTTTTTTATAAAGCATTATTCTTGTGCAGTGTGACTGATGTGCATTTCAGGTCACTGTCAAAGGGAGATGTCTCAAAACCTTGTACGTCCTGTGACTCTGTGAAAGGGCTAGAAGAAATACGTGCCCAGTACGTTAAAGCTGTGAGCAAGATTAAGTGTAAGTATTGAAGTCTTTGCTAAAAAGTTAGGAGAGCAAAATAGTTTATTTTGTCACTTCTACCTCCTTCAGCCAACTCACACAGAAATCTGAGAGCCACATTGCATGAGAAGTACCTTTTTCCTTCTTAGTACAGTAAATGTGAGAAATGGAATTGTAGCCATAATCTTGAACAAATTGAATTGTGATGAGTTGAAGCTTTGTTATGCCATCCTTGCTTTGTTGCACTGTATTATGTCTTTTAAAGTGCCAAAGTGTACTCTGAGAACTGATCTTGTTTCTCCAGCAAACAATCCACCTATTCTCCACCTATCCACCTTGTCCTGAGGGAGAGTCTGCTTTTTTCTTGTGCTGTATCCTGCCTTCTAGCTTAATTGGCAGCCTTCTGGCTGAGGAAGGAGGGTTAAGCGTAGCACTGTGTCTTACCTGAGTGCAACAGGTACCCAAACGCCAGCTGCGCTGCAGTCAAAGAATTATAGACCTGTGTTTTACCAGCCAACATTCCCCCCCCCCAAATCACCATGCTTAGTGTTTGGTATTGCTGCTGAAGATGTAGAATTGGACTGAGTTCCTGTCTGATGCTTCATATTGACCTGCTCTGATCTTCAATGGCATTTATCCAGTAGGCAACACTTAGCACAAGGGTTGGGGTGGAACATTGGCAAATAAATCCAGGCCCTCATTGACTTACTCCACATCTGCTAGACAGTCCCGTTTGTGATGCTGTTTTGTTGTTTTTTTTTCTCCTTCTGGGAGAAAACTGGTAGTAATGAGCTGTGTTTGTAGGTGATATGCTTTGTTATATCCGTGAAAGTAAGGAGCGAGCTGCTGAAATGATTAAAGTGGAGGTTTTAAGAGAGCGCCAAGAGACAGCACGGAAAATGCGCAAATACTATTTGACATGTCTTCAACAACTTCTTACTGATAATGGGAGACATGAAGGGTAAGTTCAATGTGTTTGGAAACTACTGTTCGTTCTGAAAGAGGTGCTTTTAGTCTGATGTTTTTCCATCTTGAAGCAGTGTCTGACCTGAAGTCCTCCCAGTCTGCTCAGCTTGGTATGGAGTCATTGCTGAGAAGTCTGGCAATACTGTTTTTTCAGTATTATTTAACTCTTGCCAACATTGCCTTGAAGTAAAATGCAGAAGTGAAAAGGAATTACCCTTTAACTTTTTGTGTGTGTGTTTTCTGCAATTTTTGGCAGGGCTGAAAAAAAAATAATGAATGTTGCCCATAAACTTGCTACAATGGCTAAAGGACTTGAAACACCTCTACGACACGTTCCCCATAGCAAATCTACCCGCTCAGGTATATTAGATTCTGTAGTTCTCCTTTTGGTCATACTGATTTAATGCATGTAGTAATGAAAATATAGATGAAAAGTGAAGTATTACCTATTAATAAGTTTGCTAATGGAATGTGAATATAGGCTGCTTATTTTGACAATGCTTGCAACTCTATTTAAAACAAACAAACCTGGTTTTTCTGCCAGCATTAACATTTCCTCTAATCTATTTCCTCCTCTCCTCTGCTAGCTCTGCAATCAAATTCTGATCTATTACCTGGGTCTGAGTACTCAAAAAGAGATCAAATGCCTCAGACTAGATCAAATCATATGGAAAGCAAGTCATGCGGTGAAAGCCTTACTGAAAAAACAAAGGATAAATTTGTTCAGAGACGTGTACCACATGACTTGAGACAGCAGTTTGATGAAACTCTACATATGTGTCATGAAACAGTGACTTCGAATATCCAGAATGGGAGCAATTCTAAAAATCTAGATGGTGTTTCAAGAGATACTCTGCCAGAGTTTTATCCAAAGGAAGATAGAAGAAAAGAAAAATATGGCCCCATTGTAAATGTAGACAAAGGACTGTTGTGTGCTGCTAGTGAGATAGGACATCACAATGCTCTTCCATCTGCTTTTCAAGTAGCATCAGAAAATATGCATGCACCCAGCTTTACAAATGGCTGTACCATGTCTGGGCCAACTCATCATATGCTTAAGAGCAAGAAAAAAATGGTCTTGAAAGAGGGTAAATGTGTCCTGTCATGTGGTGAACAGAAAACTAGATCTAAAAGAACTCAGGAATTTGGCTGTCAAGAAACTCCAGAAAGAGATGAAGGAAGCTGCAGTGAAGGGAATTCTGTGAATGGAAGCCTGGATCTGGATCACATTGGTATGCCTCTCTTGTATCTTGAACAAAAAGCCAACACTGATGTTCAGTTACAGACTGAATACTGTGAAGAGGTCTCTCACGTCAGGTCATCTTCCCCTGCAGATGAAAATGTTACTTCTTGGAGAGACTTTACTGATGGCAGTGGCAAGATTCGTGGCACAAAAAGCAGCACTAAAGTGTACAATAGAGGCCACCTGATAACAAACCTAGAGCATATTTCGTTACTCAACTGTGACAAATCAAAATCTGCTGTCACACAACTTGGTGTATTGCCAGATTCAAATGTAGGAAGATGCTGCAACAAATGCTTAGAAGAAAATGATATAGGATCCCCAGTCTCTTCAGCAAGATAGTGGTTTTGATAGCCCACTTCATACCTTGAACCTTTACCGGTGATTCTTCATTTGAAGGAAAAAAGATAACTTGATATTAAAATTAAAGTGTAAGTTTTGAGTAAAACCTGTTCTGTGCCTATTTTATGATCAAAGTTAAACAATTTGTGTTACATGAGGAAATATTAGAAAGTTACTTGAAATATTAATGTAGATGTTTGCTTACTTTTGTAATAACACTTTCATAATTGTTTATAATGTATTATACACAAATATATTTAATAGAATCTATTTTTATATTAAGCTTAGCTTGCAGTGCAGTTTTATGTAAAAGCTACTGTAACTTGTGGTAATCTTTTAAAATGCCTATGAAATTTCTTCAGAACTCAAGAAGAGATATTTTAGGATTTGTTTGAAGTAAGTATTTTAATTGACTTTTTGATGACCCCTTTTAAGTCTGTGTGCATCCCCATAATAAAAGCAAAACTTCTTGCAATTTTTTCATTAAAATATTATAACAAATCAATTTTCAAGTATTCTTCTCTTTGGTACAGGAAAAAATAGCTCATACTGGGGAGAAGAAAGGTACAAAATGGAATAATTGTGTTTTGCAGGTGTTCCTTAAACAGCATAGGTTATTAATGTAAACTGAAAGTGTAGTGATATTCCTCCTGAAGCTTGGCAAGCTTTTCTTTTAAAGGCCTGCTCGCATTTTGAGGAGAATTATGAAATGGATTTCTTGCTTTCCTTGGGGTAGCATTTCACTTCTAGTGATGCTGTGAGGAAAAGCAGTGTTTTGTGGCTTGCTTGCACAGAGTGTGATTAAATCACACTTATTGCAATTGGTAGTATGATTATGGGCCAGAAATTCACATCAACAATAATATGGAAGATGTAAACAAAAAGGTTTTGCTTGCTATTATTCTGTGACCCTAGAAGAAAAATGACTGAATATTCTCTATGTTTAAGCCTTTCATATGTAACAATATTTAACTGCTGTAAGGATGCTCATTTCTTCTTCCAGAGTCAAACAACACAGTCCAGTCTAAGAATCTTTGCAGTTTTAAGAGGAAAACAGTACATGCTTCAACAGAAATCTGAAGAAAAATATGTAACTTCCTTTACAAAAACATCTTGCCTGTTTATATTTCAAGCCAATTGGCAAGGCAGACTGCATTACAGCTCTTGGTATGCAGGACTGGTTTGTGATGGGAGACTCAGGTGAGATAATGAGAGACTTCTGAATTTCTTGGTGGCCTTTAACGTTGCCTATAAATCCAACCCCACTTCCTCTTTAGCGAAGGTGGGGTTTGTCATCATCAGTGGGAGCAAACTGAGGCCACGAACGACCACTTGTGCCTGAACAAACATGGGCAGTGGTTAACTTCAAGGGCCAAATTCCGAGCTCTTAGCTGAGGAAATAGCTATGGCCTTGTCTGCAAGGGAAAGTTTTTACTGGTTGTCCTCAAAGCCCCACGTGGAGGCTTTTTTCCAATGATGAGTGGCTTTTTTTGGTTAGCTTAAACACTTTCCCAAATTGCACAAGGTAAAAAAGAAGCACATTTATGCCCGAGTAAGAGATACTTGTAAAAATGTTTAAGCCATCAGATGAATTAATTCCTTGGACTAGTCCAAAAACCTTCCCCAGATGAAGAAAGCATGCATCTGTAAAAGTAAACATGCAGCTTCCCTGTAGGACATCTCTGACCATTCAGACAGAGCAGCTGAGGGCCCAACATCTCATTGGCGTGGACCAAATATTCTGTTTCAAGCAATCTTGAGGTGGGTTCAAGAGCTTCTCTGTGGTTGCTACCCAAAATGCCACATTTAGTGCCAATGTGCAAACTGCTTTTCAAATTCTCCTAAAATGAGTAACTTGTTACAGTATGTTTTATTTCTGTTGCCTTGTTCAATGGTGTTTGCGTGCATAACTCTTACTGTCATTTCTCTGTAGCTTTTAAAAAAAAGAATCTGTGTTTAAAAGCATAGTGGTTTCAGTGCTAAATGAAGTACTTAATCCTAGTCCTGTTAAAGCTTTGAATAGTTGATGATTTTCACATATTTTAACTTAGAAGTTGAGGTCCCACACTGAAGAGAGAGGATCTTCCATGTTCCTGACTGCTCCGTAGAAATCCAAGGGTACAGCAGATCCCAGCTACCGTGAGGAAACCAGGAGAGTTTTCTTCAGCAAACTGGAGCCTGGTGTGAGAAAAGATTCTCCTGTGGGTGTCCTTCCACTCTTACAGAGCAGGAAGATGTTATGCAGATGGAGCAAAAGAGGGAGGGAGAAAAAAACTTCCACCTAGTAAGAGGGCTATCTCTCAATGTGGGCATTACGTGCCCAGATAGGTTTGGTTGCTGTTTCAGTCAAGTCATATCACTTACTGGTGCTGGTCAACTTCAGTAACCAGAATTGCAATGTGTGTAAGAATGTGGATATAGGTAGACAGTTAAATCCTTGCTCACCTAATGTTTATTGTGTGTCTTGTTGCACTGACAACTCCAGAGAGCTCCAGAAATGCTGAGAGCTGGATTTTAAGTTTTCCTTAATAAAAATCAACTGCAGAGGCCTGGAGGAAAGATCCATACCCAAACAGCAGCAATCATTCCCTGGTGAGTAAAGCTTGAGGAGCAAGAAGATATTTAGTCCAAGAATCAATAACTCTTAGTCAAAAATATTCCTCAGCCCCTCTTCTAACGTCAGTAGGAAAGAATGAAGCAATAACAGCCTAGCATAGGGGGTGGCAACTCCTGAAATTGGACAGCCGACACCAGTCGGAAAGGGGGCTGTGGTGTTGCAATACATGTGGTTGGACTTTTATAGTTGAGCCAAGATTGTAGCAGAGCCACTAAATGAATCTCTTAAAATAAGTTTGCTGTGTATTTTCACACTAGGTTATACTGCTGAAAGAGCTTACCTTTTTTTTTTTCCCCCAGTACTTAGTTACCTGCTTCAAGACTTTTTGATTCAGAAGGTTCATTGTTTGAATATTGCATTTATGCCGTAGGAGCCAGATCTGATTTTATTCTAGTGATGTTGCAGTTTGGCACTTACTAGCTTGACTTTTTTTAACTACACCCCACCCCTAAAGCAGCAGACTGCAGTGGCACTCTTTTCCTTGTTGTTTTGTTCTTCTTTATATTTTTTTAGCTGATTTATCTTGCAGGTATAGTATGTCTGTACATCCATGCTTAGAACATTGTCTTTGTAAAAATGCATCACTCTTGTTTCATACTAAAGTATGAATATGATTTAAGTTATTTGCAGATTGACTTTTTCATACTGTGTTTAAGTGGTAGTAAAAGTTAACATTTTATGTGTATCTTAAACATCTTTTATATAGATAATAGTGCATAAGATGCCGATGTGATGCATAGAACAGGAGTGCACAGGATTTGTCTGACTCATGTATGCTTTGAGTAATTAATACATTAATGGTCTCAGATTCTAATGTTCTACCTCATCCCTTCACTGATATCTTTCAACTGGAATGAGTAACACCTGTTGCTATTAATGAAAAAAGAATAGGTCTTGCATAAACTAAATTCCCACATTATTTTTTTGGTAGACATATACACACATCTGAAACCTTGTCTGCTATCACAGCAAGCTGCTATGAGCATGAATAGTTAACCTCTTGTGGCTTCAGTTCCTACTTATGTAAGTAACTTGTTCAGAAAGTTAGGAAGCCTGAACAAGGAATTAAAAACAGGTCTTTTAAATCCTAGACTAGTACTTCAACCACTAAATTACCTTTTCTTTCTACTTGATGGCTTTACTGTTCTTTTACACTTTTTTGACTTGTTCTCTCTTCTAGACTGGTTTATCCCTTTGTACTTTTTTTTTTCATATTTGTTGTCTTGTCAGTTTTCTTTTCTCTGGCTTCGCCCTTAGCCACTCTTTTTTTTCTTTTTCCAGCCCCCCCCTTTGTTCCCCCCAGCTTAACTTTGGATTCT